TACACGACAATCTATGCAACACCTACTCACCTCGTTTGTGAGGTCCATCATTACAAAACACAATGCGTTAATGAAGTTCAGTTGATGCTCAATGATCCATTGAACAGGCATTTTCTGCATTAGGAAGTTGATGGCCGTGCAACTGAACAATAAACCAACAAACAAAATGTATTTTATTTGTCTGTTGAGCATACCGATTAAGAAGTACAAGAATTAACAGAAACATCAAATTAAAGTTTGAAAAGTAAGGTATGCAACTTACCCTCCATTCTTTGCAAACCACGCCCTCTCGTAACAACATCCACATAGTTTTTCAGAAAGGTATTCAAACAAAGGTAGCCTTGCAGCCTACAAGATGACAAGATCGTCCCCTCAGTTTTTAATCAAAAAGCCAATATTCAAGTTGAATCTACCACTTTCAGAACCCTAAAACGTCTGCCAAAGTAAGAGGGAGTGAGAAGATAGCCTGCAAACTGCCCTCACTATAAGCGCTTCGGCACGAACACTGCTCTTCCCGCAGAGAAACCCGCAGCCTGCAGCGCCAACACTAAGTTTTGCTTTATTAACACTATACTATCAGGTCAATACTAAAACGCCACTCACGGACAACATTTAGGCATCGAAACCTTTTAGGGAAATAACTAAAACACAAGTGTGGTTAAGACTTTGTTTACCGGTTTTTTTTCTTCTGCCACCATACTAACCTTGTATGGATCTCCTGTTATTGCGCTTGCAGTTTCAATCAAGACAGCCACAGCCAATTCACCCACTTTGTAAAATTCCTTATCCTCCATCGACATTACAGCTGCTACAGCATCAACCATGGCATGTACGTCAATTCCTCGGCGATTCCTTGAAGATCCAGGAGCAAAAATTAATCAATCGATCATTTTCTTATTCCTTTTTTGGCAAAAATGCACCCGAAGCACTTTAACAATGAGTTGTCAGTTACCTTGCCTGAGTCTTGATCGGACACGGTCCGGCTTGTTGGACCACACCCACAATGGTGTAATGTCGCACAATTTGCGACACAAAAGGAACTGCCTCTGACTTTAATTCTTTTATTGTTCCAGATACTATGGGAAGAAAAATGCAAAATTTACATCATTTATCTCCATTAAATGTAAGGTTTCCACGCCCCGTCAAACGGACGTGGCAGACCTCGCGGCCAAACACGACTCTTTCAACAATACATTAAACAATAGATTGGATTCTAAATTTGTCCCGAGATAAATGTAAGTTATAAGTGATTACTTTCCAAGCTAGTTTGGATGAAATATAAAGTCTGGCATTGCCTACTTACACAATGCACCAGTGATAGCTTGCTCAAACACTTTCTTCGATGGTTCATCCGGACAGGGTGGTACAGCTGTCTTGTTACAAATGGGAGGTTTTTCAGTTCTAAAGCTGAGAGGAAAAATAGACATCAGCAACGAGAGAATATTTCGGGGCAAAGCTGAAACCAAGGCATATATCATGTAGCTTAACTAGCTTAACTATCTAACCTATGCTAATAGTTTGGTGGTCTCATACCTCTTGTGTTGCAAGACTTGTTGAAATATCGCTTCAGTGTCTTCAAGAGACATTATGGCAATAAGAAAAGACTACAACGAAAAAGAGACGAGTAAGTCCAATGACAAGTTCTCTAGCGAGTGACACTTACACGTAAATCTAAGGTAGTTTGTCTTGATATTTGTTGAGTAAATGTGATTGCAGAGGAGGAGAGAGAAAGTAATGGATTAGGACAAGAAGGGAAAAGAAGAGAAGGAAAGAGAGAGGAAGGGATGAAAAATGAAGGGAAAGGAAATGAAAAGAAGAGAAAAACGGAATTTAGAAGAGAAGAATAGAAAAAGAAAAGGGTAAGAAGAGAAGAAAAGGAAAAGGAAGGGGAAACGAAGAAAAGTGGATAGAAGGGAAAGGAAGGGAAGAGAAGAGAAAGGGAAAGAACATTTTGAAAATTTAGAGAAGAATGCAGATTCAGTTTACTTCGCAAATTTCTGAGATCCAACTCACTGACAAGCGCCTGGACTCTCTCTGAACTAGGGTATCGAGGAAACATAAATTACCTGTACAACCAACCAAGCCTGCTTCCTGTAGAATACAGTGTGATCAATCTGCATTGGTGACTGCTGAGGAAGCGCCGCCATGTTGGGAGGAAGGGTCTTGAGTACTGTTAACGCTCTTTCGATTACCTACCACAGACAACAACATCAACATATCATTATACGCTAAAGCAATCAGACCGCGCTTTAATTGAGCGACGTAAAACCAAAACCAAGGAATTACACCTGTCAATCACAGTAAGGAAAATTTCACATGGAGTAAACGAGAAATCAAAGCAAAGACAAGCACATTGCATGAACTACAAACAAATATGGTATCTTGAGCAAGTTGTAATTGCTTTTTCAGTAGAATCCGGTTAACCCAAACCCACGGTAACTCAAACACGATCTGGTTTCCCTTGAGCCCACTCGAACTCTGCTACCTTGAAATAATTTTTTGTTTCCCTTGGGAGTTCGAGTTAACAGGGTTCTACTTTAGTCTTGTATCGGATTGGCTGAGTGGGTGACACTGGCTTTCTGTCTGACTGACCAATCATAAAGCGGTGAAAGGCAAAACGACACAATCAGGGGTGAATTTTGATGCTCATTTAAAAATTGCTTACTCTAACTTAAAAAGATTGAAATAAGCAATAAAATTATAAACAGCTACTTCTTCAACAGAAAATGAGTGCTTCAACACTTACAGCTGTCACGGGAAGTGAAACAGGATTGGTATTTTCTGGGTAAAATATTGATAGACATGGCCCCTTTGTTTCAGCGTTGTTATATTTTAGCTGGAAGAAAGAAAACAAAAATATTTTTTCAGTACGTGTTTGAAAGTGTCAGATGAGTAAATAGAAGAAAGATGGGAAACTTTGAGCTTTACAGTGGAACTTTTTGCAAACGAGGGAATCTGTTAAACCAACCAACCTTTTGGGGTTCCTTCAACATTCTCCGATTGCCGCCACCAAATTTACCCAAAACCCTGAAGGCAACATGAGCAATGCTGTCATGTGGATTTCGCAGTGTTTTCCATAGAGCCTGGAAAAATCAAACGTTCAATTATTAAAACCTTTTGATATTCAGGGAGGACAAAGTAAGCAGAGAGCTACCTTAATCAAGAAAGCAAATTACATAACAATGAGGCGGATAATCAACAAACCTGAAAAAGTTCAGCCCTCACTGGCTGAATATGGTCGTACAAAAAATCTGGCTGAAGATTGTCAACACACAGCTCCAAAGTTCTCAGGCCCTAATAACATCACAAAGATCTTCATGTTACCATGTTGCAAATTTGAATCACTTTCCTTGCATAACTATGAATCCTGAAGTGCAATTTATCTTCCAAAATGTTTATGTCATAAATTGTCTTTAAGAATTTTTCACTCAAATGATAGTCATATTACTTTGCTATATAAATTTTTCTTCCCAAAAATCTTTCCTTTCATAACAAATTTTGTATTGATTGGTATTCAAGTGCATTTCGATTGCACAAGGCAAAGGAATATCTTGCTAGGGGCAAAGGCTTTACACTGCAAAACATTGGCACAAATGCTCGTAGCTCTGCATCTAAAGGGTGAGAGGTAACACAACTTTTCTTTACTAATTACAGAGTGAAACAATGCAAAATCATGACAATCCCACATACGTTTGTCTCTTAGTTGAACCACACTTTATTATTATAGATAGGAAGCTTAGTACCTGACTGACAAGGGTCTGGGACCCATTCAGAGCAGACACCAAAGGATCCATGAGCATGGGTAGGTAGGGAAGAAGTGAGCTGAAACAACAAACAGGAATAAATCATTAGATTAAGAAGAAAAAGGGTCAAACTGATCTATCAGTTAAGAAAATAGGCTGGCAGTTCACATAGCAGGCATTTTTTCTGGCAGGCAAATTCTAAATATTCCAATCATGTGCTTAAGCCTCTATATAGGATTGTTAAGATTGAGGAAAACCTAGAGCAAATGAACCAGTAAAAAGGGGGGTGGGAGGGGGGAGGTCAGGATTTGAAGAAATAATGTCTTTGCTGGACCCTTTTTCCTTCACTGTTTGTCACTCTCGATATCACCTCTCTGGTACAATTTCATATTAACTTTGCATTTCATCTGATCTCACCAATTGAATATGGTAGCTTTGAAAATCGATCAGAAATTTAACACTCTTTCCCTAGAAATATGATCCCAAATGTGTTTTCTGAGCCAAAAAATTAGTAGGCCAGTTTTCTGTTCTACCTCAGTCTGACAGGTACTGTGAGGCACAGCTCCACAAACAGATCTTTCATGTATTGACGATGGATTCCACTCTGAAGGTTGTTCAAACCTAAAAAAGGAACAAGAGTTGAAGAAAAAAAAGCCATAAGAGTCTGGAAGTTTGCAAAACAACAGTGAGAAAATGAATCTCAGGTTACCAGATAAACTGACCTTGAAGAAGATTTGGTAAGAGAGGCAAAAACTCCTGATACAGCAAGTCATGACTTCCTAAAAATAGAATAACATCATAATCAACATTAATTTTCTTCCCAACAGTATTTCTATTAATAATAAGCAGAATTAAACACACATTTTGATTGGTTTTTACTTATGACCCAAGAGAGGACAGACAAAAAGATGTTGTCATCATTAAAACACTTTACTTCTTTATCATGTAAACAAATACTGGCAGATTTCATGTTGCCACAGGTATGTTCAGTAAAAGATATGAGGAGACATCAAAATGTGGTTTGAACTTCAGTGACATACTTGGCTGTGCCTCATGTACATGTCACATTTTGATGATCTTTTAGAGCACAGATTCATAGCAGGCCAACATGGGATCCATTTGTTAATCAGACAACCCAACAGGTTTAAAGTAAGTTCAGGACCCTAAGAAAACACTGTACAACTGTAAAGTTTAATTCAAAGAGTAAAAAATTGACATTGATAATTATCATCAGTTTATAAGATTGTGATGTTTACCTCCTCCTATGGATCTGAACAGTGCTCTCAGCAACAGGAAGTAATTGTATGGCTCCTTAGAGGTGCAGGCAAGTTGCATGGATCGGTTCACAATCTCATGCAAGTGAGGCTACAAAAGAAAATCAAACAGTCAAGGTATTCAGTGATGTGGAAGTTACAGAACTGTTTGGAGCCAACCTCCAGAATTTTCAAAGTCCCAGACAACCTGTACTCATAAAATTGTCACCAGAAATTGTAGGAAAAAGAGAAAAGGATAATTTTTTTTAAATGTTATTAAATAAATATTATCTCATTTTATTGAAATGTTTATCTCACTCTGATTTAAAACTGTGAACAATAGGTAAAAAATCTCCAATTATCCTTGCTGACCTGCAAGGATCATTGCTTTATATGATTTTTATGTGCAGGTAAAATGAAATTTACTTCTCAATAAATATTGATCAGTTTCCTCCCTAGAAAAGAAGAACCCTTCTAAAATTTGTTCCTAAAGCTAGTGGCAGTGCCAAACTAGAATCTGTGTGTCATGGGTTCGAAATTGTCATAGCCTGAGGCCTCTTTTCTGCAATTGCTAAAATTGCAGCTCCCTTACATGGATCATTTTTTGTTTGATTTTCATGCATGGGTCAGATGAAATTTATTTCATTAAAACTATAACCAATTACAGCTTCATTGGCAGATTTTGCTACAACAAACATTCTACTCCTCATGGTGACCAAAATGGTTGGAAATTGGGGTGATGGTTGCATTATTCAATAGTTCATGTACATATACATATACTCATGAGAACAAAGTTTTTGTTACATGGCTGTGGCTTCACAAAGTTCCTCTCACCTTCAACATCTGTTCATTTTCAGATGCAAACAAAGAAACTGAACCAAACACCAACTTGAACAACTTCAGATATAGGTTAGAGCGCTCCATGTTTGCTAAAAAAGTACAATCACAAAAGCATTAATATTGCTCAGATTTATCTTTCATACAGTCATTTTTCTTCCTTAATTCTTTGGGTGTAGTAGTGTACCATGATTATTTTAAAAGTAATGGTCAATAGAATTTGAAAAAAAAAGAGAATTTCAGGTCCAGGATTGATACACTAAACAATTAGTTTGTTTTTGTTTCCTTCATTTACATGTAAAACTTACTTCCCATTTCATCCAGTCTGTCCAGGAGGAACCGTACAAGGATTGTAGCAAAAGTGGCTGAGGTGTTGGGATTGGCCAGAAAGGAGTTTGGGATGATCTGAAAGAGGAGCAGAAATGCAAAATTACCCTTTAACTTTAATTTGAGGAGTGACAAGAAATTATTTCTTATCTACAATATCACTACATTTTAAGCAAAGATGTGATGAGAAAAAAGACAATTGTCATCAAAGGGGTATTGCTTAATTGAATAACATTTCGTCAGAGCTAGCAACATTATGAGAAATCTATGGCACAAGGGAGAAGTGATATTTACAGGGAGATCTTCCTGTTCTGGAAGATGGTGTGGATTTTTTATAGTCCTAGACATTGAAAAGAGTTCTTTCTGTTCTTCTTCATGTTCAAATTGATTTTAATTAGTACATTCAAACTGTAAATGAACCAGGAACCAGCAATTTGTTATACCACCCCATTCTTCCAATTTCTTTACTTTGAGTTATTCTGGAGAAGCTTTGAGTAAGTTTGGTAATAATATCTAGCAATTTTAGCCATAGAAACACCTAATAATCAATGTTCCCCCCCCTTTCCCGTACATTTTTAATTGGCTTTTCTCAGAGTATCACAGCCAATTAAACATGTATGGAAAGGGGGGGAAGCATGTTGTCATCCACATTCTCTTGTACATCAGCTTTGTGTAGGACCTCACTACATTGCTCATAATTATACACAAACCATTGGTTTTCACCTGCAGAGCATAATTTGTGTGTATTCTCTCCACCAGATACTGAAAGAGGAATAAAACAGTCAGTTTAAAATTCATAAAACATCTGGACACCATTAAAAAAAAAACATGCACCTTTTTAAATATGATTTGCTGTTTGTTTAGTACAGTAAGTATTATCAAACATTACATATATACAGCTGTATCATCATTATCCCCACTTTGGGAAAGTATTTGTTATAATGCTAACAAAATTAACTACAAATCACACCCATGTGCTGTATCCACCTTCCTTGGAGAAGGCAAATTCTAGGCAAAGATTCAAAAATCAAATAAACAACAAACAGGATTTCAGGCCCCCATCAAAACCAGCTTGCAGCTGAACTGGACCAGCCTGGTAAAATATTGCCAATAATAATTTAATTTGTTTATGAGAGTTACAAATACCTTGATACTTGCAGTGAAGACCTCCTTGAAGGTAGATGTGTTCATCATAGTAAACTACAAAAGATACAGAAAAAAAAATTCTTACCAAGATAAGTTTTGGTCCCCTAACTGTTTTTAACTTCTTGAGTAAGAGCAAGATAACCATGACCCAGTGAAGATACACAATACAAGCACAAAGTACATTGTACTTACAACTCCTGCAAAGTGTTCCAAGATTTCCTTTTCTTCTTTCATTCTCACTTGCTGAGAACTGAATAGTAAACAAGGACATGTGATTCAGCCCTTTATACCCAAACATCAGTATACATATTTTCTTTACATTTCCTTAAGGGTAAAAAAGGAGAATTTGCCCAAAAAATCCAGATCTCCTTAAGTTGGTGGTCACTTTGTTTATTCTTATAACCTTAATATTTGATTTTACTGTGATAATGTCAGGGGAATTAAGGTGCTAATCACTTTTTGAGGTTAAAGGGTTTTGTTAACAGAATCATAAATCTGAATAATTTAAAATATCACAAACTGTAAAAACTTAACCCTTTAAGTCCTAGAGGTGATCAAAAAGAAATTTCTCCTGGCAATGTCAGTGCATTTTCAAGCAGGTGATAAGAAGAACAAGAAATATATTCTATGAGATACTGATTTAATGCCAAATTCTTTGAGCTAAAATGACAAGAAATGTATGGCACAAGGGCAGAAAGTGAGAAGAATTTATAACATACCTTGGAGGCCTGAGATAATACTGTCCATTAGGACTGATAGACACTTGATAAATATCTAAAGCCTGAAGGGCTAAAATTCAAAATTTAAGTCTGTCAGCAAATTTAATAAGCAGCTTCATGCTATGGAAACTGGGATAAGATTCTACAATGTGGGTCACTTGGTTTTGAACAAGTTAGCCTATGAACTACAACTATGGTACTGCTAAAAAAGTATATTAACAGTCCCTTGAAACTCGCTTCCTGAAACTCAAGCCTTAAACTATTCCTAATTCTCAAAAGTTTTGAGAATCAAGGATCAAGTTCCAAGTCCAGATATTACTGGTAGAAGAAACTTCCTGCAGGGTCACACCCTGCCAAAACTTAAATCAATCAACTCTGTGCAGACACTGAATGTATCCCACAAGACCTTTACAGCCTCAAGCAGAACTGTATTGGATGGTGTCTTCAAGCCCTGAATGTCCAAGCTACAGCTTGAAGCACCTCTCTTTTTGATTCTCAAGCCTCAATTCCTGATATTTTTGAGGATCAAAGATCAAGTTTCAAGTCAAGATTGTCAACTTACTTTTGAGTAGCACTGCGGCTGGACCTGATTCATTCAACTTGTAGTTTGTAGCAGAGGACCATGTTTAGAATCTATATCCTTAAGCCATGGCTATAGGCCTACACTAAAAAAAGTCTACCCAGAACCCTATACTTATCCTCACCATATTTCAGAAGTCTTGTGAATAGATGTGTCTCCCATGGAAGGAATGTTTTATTGGCCTGAGCTGATGCAGGAGCATTGATATCATTTGCAGCTTTAAGAAAGTGAAACCAATATTGAGTCCTTAATGTGGTGAAAGAACATTTATTGGGGGAAAGATGATGTTGTTACTAAGTGGATGACACAAGCATACTTAGGAAAAAGAACTCCAAGTGCTCTCAGTAGTCCTCAAAGTAGATTTCTGGAAAATTACACATGAGATTTGAAATATTTGAAAGAAGGCTTAGCAAGGTGATAACTGGAGCCAACAATTAATACGTGCTTTGAATGTGCCATTTGTCATTAAACAGCACTCCTGTCTAGAAAACTGGTAGAAAACATGTCATAATCTACACCAAGTGAAATATCTTACCTCCCATTACCTTGCGGGAACCTGCACCCCATGTGATTGTCTTAACTCCACACACAAGAGTCTTCACCATACTGCGACAGTCAGGGACAGAGAAGGCATTTGGGGGACTGGGACCCACTAAAATTTCAAGGAAAAGAACCATTTTGAACACATGTACAGTACATCAATATTTGTATGTTTTCTAGATGAAGAATAATTGTAAAAAAAATGTTATTTGAGAACAATAGCTTACCAGCTGAAGCACCAGCCATTTTCTATCAGGAAACAAAGAAAAATAAAGATTATTTATTTTAACTAGTTATAACTCACCCCAAAAGAGGGAGGCTCATTGCAATGATTATTACAAAATAACCCATCAAATATAAGATACCAGTAATAAAAAATATACTAATATTTAGAAAATATTCCTGAATTTGATTTACTGAAGCTGGTAAAATGTAATTTCATGGCATTGATGTTTGTTAGCTTTTGAGTCACTTATTATCTCTGCATGTAAATACATGTAACTGTTTAAACCTTTGTCACATCTTGATCCTGTTTGTCTGAAGACTGGGTTTCAACTGCTGCTGAGGAGGAACTTGAAGCAGTGGAAGTTGAAGTTATGCTGGACACTGAGCTGCGATCAGCAGCTGTGCTTGTTGTTACAGATGGTATAACTGACGTTGATTGTGATGAAGACTGCTGCTGTGCTTGGACTTCACTCATTTGAGGGCTAAAAAATTATTATCATTTGTGTAGTCAGATTTGATATGCAATTAGTTCGCTCAAAGAAACATTGTCCATTTCACATTGCCACAGCCCATTTGGTCTACAATTAGATCAAGCTAAGACAAAATAATTTTTGTTGAATAGTGAATTTCATAACATTTTAATAGATACATAGTTTATGGTGGCTATGCTTTATATAGCACAATAAAATTTTTTTTTGCAAAGACACCTACAAAGGTCTACTGTATCCTTCATGGAATTTAACTTTCCTCTAAAAAAAACTATGAACTTCTCAATGCAGTCTGGCCAAATTTCCATCAAAGTTCCAAAAGCACCATGAACTCTTGGATATGGAAATAAGGAAATATGGAAATCCTTCATTTTTATCATCATCATATTGTGACAATTGTTATATGAATTGGTAAAATTGTAAAGTTCTGTTTTCTGATCTGATCTGATCTTCAGTTCTAATTAAGTCTAAATGTATGTAGTCATTGACAATCTCTTCAAAGAAAAGAACCAAACTCAAGATAAAGTACCATCTCTTGAAGATAGCTGGAACGTGATGCTTAGCAATTGATTGGAATTTTCTGACAAATACTTCAAGCATCCTCATAAGAATTTCACGTCCCTGAAAAAAAAAGAAAGCAGTTAGCAAAAATGCTATAGTAGTAAAAGAGGGAATCTTAAATTTATGTGTCTCAGCTGGTTTGTGAATATAAATTGTAAATGCAATGTCTTACAGTTCCTTGATCATCACTTTTCTGCTTGATACCCTCCACAAGGTTCAAAAGAAGCTAAGAAAAAAAATAAGGTTTGCAGTTAGGAGTCAACCCATGAAACCACCTTCCCATTTTATCGAATTTTTTGTCAACCTGTTTGCATTTCCCTTCCCTTCACTTCTATTAGCTTCTCCTCTCACCCTTTCCCTTCAGTTTTTGTCCAGTCTCCTCTCGTTTCTTTGTTTCTCTTCTCCTCTCTTCCAATCCAATCATTTCTTGTCATCTCTTCACATCTCATTTCTTCCCTTCTCTTCATTTCTTATCTCTTCACTTCCTTTCTCTTCTCTGCTATGTGCAGTATGACCACTTACTTGACACCCTCTATGCTTTACTCATCATTGCCTCTTTGTTTGTCGAGCTGCCTACAGTACTTAAAGTCCAACTACTATGACTCCTGGCGGCATGAACCACCTCATACTAGAGTACCATCAAGACTAAATACTATGATACTAAGTATATACTACTTAGATTACCACCCAACCCCTGACAAGAGCTTGTTAACAACTACAGAATATGCCAGTATACTGACCACCAATCTATTCCCCAGGTAAAAAGATGCATTTGATCTGTGCTTTGCAATTTTCACTCACCTTGCATGACATGGTTTGAATGCTGACAGGGAGTGAGTCATCATGTACATTCTTGGAGAACATATGAACTGCCAGTGACAGGTGAGGTAAGGGAAGGTGAGTACGAACATGGTGAACCAAATCAGCCAGGGTACTGTATGCCAATGGACGTAACGACTCTTTCGTGGTCCAACCTTTACCAATCAGGACTTCCTCATCAAATAGTTGATCAATGTGAGGTACAAACCCTGTGGAGGAATTTGAGATCTCAGCTAAATGTAATGGAGCAACAGGAAAGTTTACATGTTTAAGGCCACTATTGGCCCATAACAACTGCTGCTTAACCCTGTTTACCAGGCAGCATTTTGTCATGTCACCCCAATAAATAACTCCAGGGTGAAGAATAAAATGTCTTGTCCTGTGTTCCCTGAGAGAATCAGACTCAGTTTTATCTCTATAAAACCTGCTTACTTTTTCGAAGATCTGTGGCCAGAATATGTCTTGCAGCAATCAGCAGTTCTTTTCTGAGGTGAGCAACTTCCTGTGGGCAATAGCGCAGCAGACCCAGCATTCCTCCTACCATGTTCTGTGAATATGTGTTGACCATATCTTGATAAATTCTGATGATGTATGCCAAAAATGACAGTGTTTTGATCTGCGCTGCTACAAAATCAACATACACCTCCTTGTTGAACGTGGGAGATTTTCTAAAGAATAGAAAATGAATAAAAGATGATCAGTATCCACATAAGACTACCATTGAGTTGTTAACAACACTCAAGTGACCACAGAAGATTACAGCTTTACAGCTTTTGGAGCTGCAAGATTGTTTTCAGTAACATTCAGAGTATATTTCATACATTCACTGCTGTGCATCTGTAGTGCAGTTGTACATATGTGGGTAGTCATCAAAAGATGCCGCATCTAAAAAACCCGGGCAAAGTCATCGCCAATTTCTAGTGAAAGGGTGGATAGTGAAAAGCTGTTAATGAACTTTTGTGACACATTTATTTTCGCCCTCTGTTTCACAATGGAATACATAACAATCTGATTGGAAAATCCAACAGACTTTTAGAAGTCACTTATAGTACTGTCAGTAGTGCTTTTTCCATGCAAGTATCCATTTGGTAATGAGTTGTCTCTCTTGATTACCATTTGAAAACATAATATATATGTACATGTATTCAACTACTGTCAACGGCAGCTCTCCTTTATTGAATTACGCTAACCTGGACAATTTTTCAGGACTACCTTTGCCTGAACAATCATGCTATCTGGCCAACTACACTGTATCACTTCTAGGTTGAAACTTGATATGATAATCAGAGTAACACAGATTGTTACCTTGCTGTAAGAGAGGGTTGTAGAATAATGGTATTCATGATCAATGGGATGAAGTCTGCGACAACACTGTGGACATTCTGTTTGTATAACTGCATAAAGGAAATGATGACAGATAAATCAATACAATCACACTTCATAGGCATGACAAACGCAGAAAAAAACCCAAGCTAACACATCATTTAACATAACTATTAATAACTACAAACATTTACCTGGTACATGAGCACAACAATGATGGGTAACTCAGCCAGTACTTTGAGTGAATTCACTGCCTTTGGAATTAATGTCTGAAGGAAAAGTATATTTGCTGTTAATTCATTACAAGTCATGTATAACAAATTGTTATGCACTGATCAATTTTGGGGCTTCTACACCCCTCCCCTAAATGCCCTCCCCAATTTTTTCATAAAAGGCAACATCATCAACCATGACTTTATGCACATTGACCAAGCTTTAAAACCTAGACCTTGTGTACCTTTTCTTCTAAGCCTTTTGCTTACAAAAGTAAACTACTTACCCTAAAACAACCCCATAATTATTCAAAGATAAAACAATTGTTTTCCACCAGAAAGGCTTGACAGTTCAGGTTCATATTCCCCACCACTAGGACATGGGCAAGGTCAAATGCCCATGGATTGCCGTGGGGGGGGGGGGAAGGGGGAGGGAGAGAAGCTTGAAGCTTCAAATTGATCAGGGCATTACTTGATCATAAGAATGCATACAGCAAATATGAAATTTTACTCAGTATATTATGTGCACTTCCTGAATTACGTGTTTCAATAATAATGATATTGTAAGATAAACCAACAAACCTGTTGTCCACTTTTACCACCCCCCGCATCCCCACTGTTCAGGGGGGAGGTGGTGGAGGTAGCTCCACTGTTGATCCCAGGGGTGGTAGTGGTAGTTGCAGTTGTAGCATTCCCCTCTGGTAAAAAGCCGGTAGCTGATATAGGAACTACATCAAAAAATTGTTTCTGCAAGCAAATAAATATGCAATCCGAGGATCATTAATCATCACTCATGTCTCAGCCAATATCCACATGATAATTTACCTCCAATTTATCAGTTAGTTTTGTTACCCTCTTCTTATTACTGGTTTGAGTGCAATTAGAGATAAAATATGAAGGATGAAAATTTATAAGTATGACGAATGAAAAATAATTTTTTGATAAATAATTGAAAATAAAATCACTAACATAATGTAACATTGTACATTTCATACCACATTTGTTGGTAGATCTTTGTAAATTGTCTTCACAAACTGTAGAAAGTGTTGTATCTGTAGCAAAAGAAATTCACCAAAATTGTGATCAGACATGTAGCTTCCTGCAAATGTCATGTAAATTAACTGTTACATTGCACAGAAGAGAGAGCCTTGAGCAAAATTGAATGTTACTCAGTGCAAACATGCAGGTACACAAATTTATGGAGTGACTTGCCTCAGATTGTAAAGGTGGTCTGAACTGTTTGTGGAGCTCAATAATGATCCTCAAACACACCAATACATTCTCTTCATTTTCAATCTGCATGAGAGAAAAGACTATCATTCATTGCGCATATAACCAAAACAAAGAATGATGAATATCATTAACAATTACATTTTTTGGATATAAAATTATGCTTTACACCATGACCTACTTACCTCCAGTAGATGAAACATCAAAGACAATATGGACTGAAAGGGAAGAAAAAAGCTCAAATAACTATTGATATAGCTAGTTAATTGTATAATCAAATTTAATTGCTGAAGCATACTTCATATTCCCATTTTGCTTGCTGATGAAAATTCATTGTGTTTACATATTAAAGTAGTTGGAACGTCTGGAAAGCAATCAAGAATCTACAATCTACAATCAATGTATACTGTGAGCACCTCTTGCAAATACATGAAGTTTGTGCTCTCTAAAGTTCCTTTATACTTTATACTTTGCAGTTAACCTTTTAACTCCCAGATCAAATTTGTCATTCTCCTTACTGCCACGACACAATTCTTATAATGTTAGTTCAGAGAATTTAGTATTGGATCAACTAATTATCCCCAAATTGATATTTTCTTTATTCTCATCACTTATCTGGTTGATATTTTATTGATATTGTTAGGAGAAATTCTGTCTTGGTCACTCATGGGCATTAAAGGGTTGAAGGCATGTCCATGCAGGTCTATGAAAACTTAGAACATACCTGGAAATGAGGTCTAAGATGTTCATTGGTAGGTATACGATGCAGAATCTCAAGTAAAAGTTTTCTCAGTTGCTAAAAAAGAAGGTGTCAAAAACGTATAAGGACACTGTGAAACTCTATTTAACCACTTTGTTACAAACATTGTGACTCTTACTGCAAAACTCAGAAAACTGTTGAAAGTTTGACTTGATCTGACTGGCCAATCATGTACTGACTGAGTGAAGAAGCTCTTGTTAAGACAATTCTCCTTGTTAGAACAATAGGAAATGTATGGAGAATAGTATCGACACTAAACATTCTAACGTTAGGGCATTGAAGGTTTACATGTCAGTGTACCTGTGTAGGAACTTCAGTAACAAAATGTGGCTCTCCTGTGAAAACAAAAAAAAATACAAGTACTTGTAGCTGAAGATGCTGAATATAGCTTTCTATGCAAGGAAATGTGCACACTATAAAAGAAAATCTTACCATCTCTAAGATACTGTACAAATCTTGGTATTGAATGCTCCAAGAATGCTGTATAACTTGTAGACTGGACAATTGTCTGAAAAAGTCAAATGCGATTCTGATAAATTCATGTAAGTTTTACTACAAGTGACATGCTATCCCCTATGACTTGTGAATGTATAATGCAACATATAGATGGTTGTTCTTAAACATTCCCTTGTTAGTACTTGTTAAGTCTACAGTACATGAAACTTAACAAAAATGCAAACCAAAAGGTACAAACCTCAAAGTTTTCACTGATTTCTTGTGCAGCCTTCAATTTTTTATCTTCAGCTTTAAATAATAACACAAAGTAAGAATGTAAGTTTACTACTACAATGTAAGTAGAAAACAAGTGAAAAAATTTTGGCAAAAATTGACCTTTGTAAGTCTCTAACAACCATGATGTGTTTCACTCAGCAAGTAGAAAATGACACTTCATTCTGTGAAGATTTCAGAGATACACAGATCAACCTACAGTAGTACTTACGAACAGAAGCTTCTGTAAGAATGTTAGTGTATGTTGTAAACATCTTGATGATGTTTGCTGGTCCAGCCTCCTGTGGAGATGTGACAGAGGCAGGACTTGCAGATGCTGCCATCTTGTCCACTGTAAAAACAGGAGAGTGATATTACAAAACATGTGTTTGCTCAACATAATTTTGATGATAAATAAATACAAATGTAGAGTAACCATCAACTGAATTAAAGATTTAAGGTATCAATTAAAGATTGTGACATCTTGACTAAATAAATGGCTTGTCTTTGCCATACCATAAGGTGACTGGGCACCTGACCTGATAAATAAGAGTTGAATTAATGTTATCCTTGGTAAGTACATGTATATACACTGTAGCTTGACTCTACCATCTATGGTAACTCCAAATCTCGAGACATACAGTTTAACATTAAATTTAATAAACAAAATGGTTACATTTTGGATTTGCTGGAGCTCATGGAGCAACTGCTTCAGTACACCCACTAACAGGCCATGAAACTATTAACATACAGCATGTTGGTGTTAACCCTTTCATTCTCAAGATCTAAATGTCATTTCTCTCCACTGTCTTCTGCACATGTCTCATAGATTCTCCTTTAAGAATTTTCTGTTAAACCAAATCATATTCTCTTGTTGTCATCTTTCTTCCTTCCCATCCCCTTTCTGCTTCAAATGTATAGAAATCGTGAGAAGAAGTTCCTTTTTCGGCTTTAGCATTATTTTGAGCAAAGGGTTAACTTAATAAAGTTAGCATTTGATCTCATGACCGTGAAAATGTGACAGATTAGAAATCAACCATGTACCGATCTTACTCGTTGTGGATCTAACACACTTAAAACATACTTTCCAGCATTAATCTCTATGCATGATTAAGAGTTGTAAGAAGTAAGACAACGATCAATCATTTACAGACGAACTTGGCATTACATGTCATACAGACACAACTTGGAATTCTATTTGTGATTTTTACGAGGATTGTGCTGTCTTCCTTGTGAAAAAATCATATGCGAAGGTTCCAAAATATAGAAAATACTTAAGTAATTTTAATGCATCGTATAGATCTGATCAAGTTGAAAATCTATGCACACTGCCACTTTGGAATCTATAACTGCTAAGCTAAACAAGCGTCAAGCTAGCATTTTTCAGACAAAAGCTGAATAAATCATTTCAGTCCACCTTTGGAATACTGATAAATAGCCAAAGTACAAAATAAAATAGTTAATACCTCAGTAGAAACAAACTGATCAAATTATGAAAGCGTTTCTCCGTGGGAACTGAGCACAAACGAACTCCATCTTTGTTCCCGATCTCACCCTATTAGTGTAATTTACATGAAGATGCCTCTTCTACAAGACCTTCCTTTTGGAAGGTCTTTAAATGCGCTTGCGCAAAAGTTCACGCCGCTGCTAGATAATTCGCTGGCGTCAAACTTACAGTCAAAACTTTTCGCCGGCGAAAGGCAACTTACTTCGTTATATTTCCCAATTTCCAAGAAGCATGGCTAAAAATAAAAGGAAAAGGAAACTTAAGGAACAGGACTTCCAGAAGGTGAAGTTTAAGGTTGGAAAGAAACTTAAACCTGCAGAGAATGCCACAGACTCTTCATTTAAATCAAGAGGGATCTTCGTTCCAGCTCAGCTTCATACACTCGACAGTGCACCAACAAATCAAAGGAACCAGACCATGAAGGTACAAGAATTTCGACTTTACTTTTCTGGTGTAAGGATGTACAATAACGTAAATCTAACGGGCTCGGTCACATCCCATTTCTGACTTATGGGTGACGTTTAGTTTTGCACGTGGCTGCACAGGTACCCCAAACTCCTCGAGCCTAGTATGCAGTCGCATTATGAACAAAATGATTCTGAAAAAGTTTTGAATTTCCGTAACATAAACATTTGCATATTTAAGGTGGTGCCATAAGCCTGTGGTGGCCGTTTTTATAATTCTGATAACTACATGTAATTTACAAGGAAATGTCGATTGGCTTGAGGGGAGAATTAGCTGTCAGATCTTGGGAATAAAGGATTGATAAAGGGGATAGGTTTCCTAAGTATTAAAGTTCTTAACCTGGTTTATCCTCTGCTCATTCCATAGGATTTACTTGCCCAAGTGGGTCATTACAGTGTGAACACAAGGCAGCAAGCACTAGGAGGTCTTAAGGATCTGTTCCAACATCATGAGAATCTCCTCCACGAAAATCTTGGAATTGTAATCAAAAGAATTTGCGAGAAAATGACTGATGGTGACCCATCAGTCCGACAGTCACTTCTCCTGTTACTCTGTTTCATATTCCCACTAGTATCACAAGAAAAGATGGTACCATTTGCTGCACTAGTGATTGCTCATTTAAGTTGTGCTATGACGCACATTTATGATGACATACAACATGATTCACTTGGATTTCTTGAGCTTTGTCTTCGTTATTTTCCTAATCTAATGGTTGGAAGCTCTTCACAGCTGATTCAAAACTTTGTGGGTATGATTTCACGTCAGAACATTCCAGGTACAAAGCAGTCAAAAGGGCCACAACATAAAGTTGGAAAAGGACTTGCTGTGAATCCAAAGGGGAAACTTTCTTCTCTAAGGTCACGTCTCAAAATTCTACAGCAATTATTGGCATTGTTGAAAGCCCTGGAATCTTCTTCCAATTCCAATCCATTATCATCAGCAAACCTGGTTGAGTTACCAAGTAAAAAACCAACAATTAATTTTGACAAGAAAAAGCCAACTCGAATCCAAGTTTTAGAACATTCCGTTGAAGAACCAACTTTACACTCCTTCACTTTTGATAGCGGCACAGCAACTACAGCATTAAACACAGAAAGTAAAAACAATATTTTAACTGATAGACAGATGGTAAAGGATTTCATGGAAGTAATTGTACCTTTATTACTGGAATGTTGGATAGAGTGTAATCCTGCTCAAATGACAACTGCACTACCTAACAGTATGGTATCTTCCTCATCTATTGATGTTATGTTGGCTGTGACAGAAATTCTTAAAATTGTCTTCAAAGCAGCCCAGGAAAAACAGACAAACGCTAAAGTCTCTGAAATACACAAACCTGGAGACGACTTACTGGATGTTTATTTCAAAGACATCAATCAGCATTTGATGAGTTTCTTTCCATTTTCAGTCTTGGATACACCAGTGGTGAAGAGAGGAAGGAGAAAGCTAGGAAAGGCTCCTCAGCAAGCTATGGGTGAGAACTCCAATGCCCCTGTGCAAACCCTAAACCTGAAAATTTGTGAAATCATGATGCTATTTGTAAAGAATGGCCCTGCTGTGCAGAAGAACTATCGTACTGTAGTCTACAGGCTGGAAGAGTTTGTCATTGAATCACTAGAGTTAAAAGCATCAGGGGGTGCTGCAGGCCAACAGTTTCAGACAGAACAAGTGGAGAGTCTGGTCACATTTGCTCATCAGATTCTTGAATATCACTGCAGTTGTATAAAAATGGGTATTGCAAGCAAACCAGGAGAACTTCTTCATGCAGCATTCAATTTGTATCGGTCAAGTCACATTAAGTCTGGAACTAAAAGAGTGTTGATCAATTTTTTAGCAAGTCTTGTTTTCCAAGAGAACATGGATTTTTCAGAGTGAGTTTTTATTTGGTTAGTTATTGTAGATGCCTTTTTTTTCTGACAAATGCAGGTCTACACTTGTACTGGTGCATATGAAATAAACAATATATTGACCTGTGGATTAGGTAAAGGGGGTAAGTTTCTTAAGAAATTGTGGTGCTGGGTCAGTAGGGGAGTATTACAAGATACAGGCAATTAGTTGATAATATACTGTAGAGTAAATTGGTCACCCTAAAGAGTTTCTTAGGCCAACATTTTGCGGGTTAGCCTTAGGTCAGAGCAAATTGGACAATTAGGACTTACTCTGAGGAAGGGCTTATACTACAGTGGTGGCTTTAGCATCTCTTTCTAGTGGCCACTTCACATTATCAACTCAGTTGATAAAACCTACATTGTAATTATCTAGTAATAAGCCCCACTTCAGAACTTACTTATCTGGGAGGCACTACATCAATCCTAGTGTTAACCTGAATTTCTACATACATCTTTTTCTTTCTTGTGATTTCCCATTCTTCTGTCATGCTAAAGTGATTGATAAAACAATATTTCATAACAGGCTTTTTGAGGTGCAGGAACTTGTTGAGAAATGGCTGCTTGGATTGCCTGGCCTGTTAGTGCAATTGAAGGAGGCAACCCCTGGCCTGATAGAACTTGTTTTAAGAGTCATGAAAAAAGCAGTCGTGCAAGGTGTCCTACAATCAGATGACAAAGTCTTGTCTCAGCTGGCCATGTTCTTCTGTAAGTGTTCAGACAGCACACGATTTTATCTCTGATTTTGCTATGTGATCATGCAGTGAGTATACTCTTAAGAACAACCATTTCCTTTATTCTTGTCACCCTAATGTGTGATTCTGGGGTGGCATTCTAAGGAGAAATTAGTTGCTCATCACTCTTGGCAGTTGAATGGTTAACCCTTTAACTCTCATAAGTGACCAAGACAGAATTTCTACTTGCAATTTCCACACAATATTGTGCAGACTACTGATGAGAATAAAGAATAATATCAATTCAGGGATTATTAGTTGATCCAATACCAAATTCTCCAAGTTAACATCATGAGAATTGTATAGCAGACAGTAAGGAGAATTACTAATGAGATCTTAAGAGTGAAAGGGTTAAGGATCCCCTTAACACCTAAGAATGCCATGAAACTGATACAGACAGTTTTACCTTTTAACTTACATTTATTTTTTCATTAGCCAAGGACAAGGGTTCATTTTCAAAACTGAGAGGAGGGATTCAACGCTTGGCAGTGGAGCTATTGTTTCACCTCCCATCACTGGATGATCAGTTGTTGGCAAACGTTGTATCATGTTGTCATGGAGAACAAGTTGATGTGGCAGTAATTCAATACCTTCTCCAAGTCTTGCTTTACAGGTTTGTAAACATGGGACAAAATTTCTTTGACTTCTGAGAAAATAACTTATAGCATTTTATTTAGACAGCAGTGTTCTCAATGGAGCATAATCAAGGGGCATGGCCTTCAACTCAGACCTGTAGATCTGGAGTCTGTTTTGTTCGATATCAGTCTACTGCATTTTTCACACTTGTAGATGTAATTGTCATGCAGTTTAGTTTATATATCTGATCAGTCTATACAGATCACATTTGTGTATGAATTTACAGGTCTCCAAGTTATGAAGGTGCTGTGTCACACCCTGCTGCATTCACCTTTGAAGCATACTTGAGTGCCCTTCTTCATATAGCAATAGGTATGTAGTAATTTGGGTTGATTCAGATTCCCTGCTCTACAAAACCAGTTTTGATAACTCTGCTCCCCTCCCTCCCTCCCTTCTACCCTTCAATTAGCAACCTGGTCCAGTAACTATATACTGATATGCCTTATTTCATTTCAAGAGATTCTGATGTCAGGAGTGTTCTACAGCTTGAAGCTCAAATTCATTTCAGAATGTGTTGTCCTTAACTGTAGCCTGGCGTGATCTTGTGCATAAAGAACAATCTGTTGTTGTTGTTATTTTCTCTGCAGGATATTCCAAATACCAACTCAGTGATTACCAAGATGTGAATAACCAGGCTGAAACTTGTGAGGTCACTGATTTCATGTAAGGAGAATTTGGGCTCTCGGAGCAATTTCCAACTGAGTGTCAAAAATAATCCATGATTACATTGGTTTTGCTCTTCTTTGCTCCTTGATTGGCCAGAAAACTCACACCACTCTCTCATGCTTTTGGTTGAGTTTATGCAAGTTCTCATTGGCTCCTACAGGAAATTTCCCTTCTCCTGATTGGCTGCAATGCTTACTTTGGTATTGGTTTTACAATATTCAATCCATTAGCACTCTATCAGTTAACAAACCCAGTCTGAGTATTTATCATGTTACTCATACCAGCCATTTAAAGAGATTCTTTTTTGTTCTGTAGAGGCTGCCCTTTTTCTATTTTACATGAAAACAAAGGACAGGAGGTTGGTGAAGCTAACTTGTGGCAGAGCCAACAAAGGAAGTTGCAGGTAAATTGTAATTATCAGCTTGTACAGTACCTGCCAGTGTTATTTAAGCCAGTACCCTCTGACTCCTGACACTGACCAACATCTAATTTCTCCTCACAATATCACCCCAGAGTGAAACACTTAAATCACGAGAATAAGGGAAATGATCACCAACTAAAGAGGTCTTGATTGTTTTAAAACAAACTCTCCTTGTCAGTACCTTAGGAAGTGTATAGAGAACAGTATTGAGAATATGCATACTGATGCTAGGCCGTAAAGGGTAATGGTGATTTATCTTTTGTTCTTTGAATTCTTAGGCAGTTTTCCAGTGTTTCAAACACTGTCCATTCAGCACTTTGCTGCGGCTCGTGAGCCAAGAATTGGAACAGCTTCTGGTATGATTCCATGTTTTCTCTTGATTAATAAAGTCGTGCCATGTTTTAAAGAAGATCTCGTCCAGAAAAACGTAGTAAAGCTTACTAAATAGGATGGGTTTTTTTTTTTTAAGATTATTACATTTTATAAGATTTATTATTATTTCAATTAATGGTTTACTCATTCATCTTCAGCTTGATTATAAAGTTCTCCCCTTGAGTGCCGTACACGGTATTTTGCGCGTAATGAGATGGTATGTGTTTAAACCCGAACAAATTTTATATTAATGTGTTATTTGTTGAGGAAACTTTCGTTTACATTTACTGTAACGAACATCATAACATTTAGAGATTGCCGCACTAGACCGCAGCTATTCTCCTTGACAGTAAGCACATACGCGAGAGTAATTTTTCTCGTCTGGAATTGATGTCTGGGAAAGAAGTCTTACAATGCACTCTTTATTTCCAAAGATCTAGCCTCAGAAAAAAATGTCTCTTTTGTGTTTTCCAGGCGCGTGGCAAGAAAACCCCAAAATGACGCCTAGACCTAAAGCAAGCGCAAGGCGAAGGTCGTGTCACTTGCCAGAGCAGGATTGCGCGCTCATCTCCTCTCATCCTTAGCCCTCTTCCCCACTCATACCCCCTCCGTCCTTTTTGTCTCCGTTTCCTCTTCGCCCTACCCTCGACCAGAGATCCTTTTCACAGGGAAAAGATCCCACTAAAAGTTCTCGTTTCTATTGGATGTGATACGGATTCGTTTTTCTTTCTAATTACCAATGCTTTAAATTCATCTTATTTCTAGTGTGATGCAATTAGCTTCAGACGCCAGCTCTGCAGACGGAAATTGCCCTTTTCCAACCTTTTTGTTGCTATCTCTGACACATTTGATGCTGGTTTGTTTGAAGCACTGCACGAGGAGATCTTTTTCATGCAGTGAGCAGAAACCAAGGAGCGAGGATTTGTTTGTCGAAGTTGTGGAGTTGTTATGTGCAGTGCCGCAAATGATCCTGGAGATATTGTCGCATCTGGTGGCAGTCCTTTCAGGTACGAAACTATCAGAGTTTGGGACCAGGCCCTCGTTATTAGCACCGCTGGACGCGCGTTTCTCCGCCCGCGGGAGAAGAAAACGAGTAGGGAAGAGATTTGCCGGGGGTCTGGCACTAATAATTATCAGTGCCAAACCGCCTCCAGACCTCTCGCCGGCTCGCGTTACTCAAGGCCTCATGCTTGACTGCAGTGAAGAGGCGCTCGAGTGTGCTATGGAGCGTTAAGCAGATGAGCCTGGAAACGAGTAACAAAAGCGTGAGACCTTTAGAACAGGGAGACTAGTATCCCAGGCTCTGCTCCTCGTTTTCTCTTCACCTCCTTTATTTTCATCAAGCGCTCAAAAATACCACCAGGTACGCAGGCTAGAAACCGGCATACCTTTACAATTAACAAATGAATTTCTACGGGCGTGGTCTTGAATTTAAAACACAGTGATACACCCTTTGTCACCCTTTATTTTGTAACCGTAGAGAGAGGGCGTGCTTTTTCGTCTACCAGAATATTTATAGGCCTTTAATTGGTGAAATTTTTAGGTTTTACATCAGATGATTCAGAGTGTGTAATGGAGACCTGCGCTGTTATACTCACCAAGCTGTTCAGCTGTAAAGTGCGAAAGATTCTTCTTCAGTCACCTGACCGTGTACATCTTTTGGTTCAGCGTGTCTTGGTATGTCATTGGTGGAAATCTTTTATAGCTTAATTTAAAGACGCAGTGAAACGAACGAAACTGAGGACTAAGTCGAGAGGACCTTACTCTCCTCAGTCCCCTCTCCTTTCCTTGTTTAGAAAGATACAAAATTTACTCAAAATGAGCTGGAGAGAAACGGGGCAGTGTACGGAGAGAAGATTTAAATCGATTTTCCATCACCTACTTGAAAACTTCGAGGGAATCGGAACGTCGTCCCGAGTGTTTGGTTAATTTTTCCTATGATATAAATCAGTGATTCTCACAGAACTCTATTTTTGCCTCTACAGAACAGAGACAATTCAAGTACTCTCCGCAAACAGTGTTTTGCAGATCTACAATATCAGTATTCCTTATTCAAAGCAGAGGCTGGCCAAACCAACGCTCTATCGACCTGCACGGATATGTGATAACAAAATACAATAACAGTATTTGCATTCTATTTATGTTGGATTGACAGAGCAATTTTCAATTGACATTCGCCTCTAATCCGGAGTCATATTGGTTTTGGTATGCTGCGCATGCGTCCCCCCAACTAATCAGCGGCATAAATAGATCGAATCGGACACACGCGTTTTCCCGCACCTAGGGCAATTTTATTTTACTTTGGAGTTTCATTGGCTCTGTGTGGTATTCTTCTTCGTTCTGATTGGCTGTTGTAATATTACGTTGGTTTTGGTTTTTCGGCACTAGTCGGAATGCTTTCTTATCGGTGATGTTGGACTGGTTTTCTTCACATGTGGCACAGCAGATTAAAGAGGTCGCTTATCCAGTATCTGTAGTTTGTTGTTGATGAACCCCGGGACAATCCTAGGACAAAGAAAAATGTTCCTTAGTTAGAAGATTCCCTTGAACAAAGGACACCGATTAGAAAAGGTTACACAGAGGAGCCTTCACTCGAGGGACTCTCTTCGGGCCGAAGAAAGTGTGCCCTAACAGAGGTACCCCCTTCATAATAGGGAACACATAGACAAGTTAAATTACCATTTTTTATCCTAGAATTGAGGTGTCCGCTTGTGTTTAGGTTCTCAGAAGAGAGAATTCATTGTATTGGGTTGTTCGAAACAAGTTGTCCATAGTTTGTCGAATGTGATACCTTAATTTCCACGGCGTTCTTTGAGATGGGAAAAATCCTATCCAAGCGAAGTAGCTTATCGTTAGTTATTATGCGTGCAGGTGTATTAAAAACGCGCTACGTTTCAATATCTTCATGATATCACCTTCAAGTGAAGATTGAAAACAACAGAAAGGTTGACATAAGCTAGTAAGGTGTCAAATAGTTTTGTACGGAAGAACAAACGACGAATGGTGTATTATAAAGAAACAGTTGATTGACTTGGTTGATTGAACACCTAAGTTTGTGAGTAAAACAAATTATCCTGCTCGGAAGGAGTCTGTTTTGAGTTCGGTGTCCGCGCGAACTTGATAAATGAAATATTTTGACTAAACAATGCAAGCATGTGTCTTTGCTAGATTATGTAGAATGAGATATCTGAGGGGACCTAGTTAAAATAGATTAAATTGTCGTTTTTTTTTTAAAAAATTCTTAGCCGTCATTGTGTGTTTACATGGGATACTGCTATTAGTTGAGATGTTAGAGATTTTAATTTTTTAGTGAAAAAATTCTTAGCTGTCATTGTGTGTTTCCTTGGGGTTCTGTTATCTGTTGTGTCGCAAGAGTCTTTTTTTTTTTCAATCAATGATTTCTTTCTTTATTTAGAAAGTAAGGAACGTTTTGATCAAATGACACAATGATTCTTTGAGTTATCACGTGATGTGAAGTGGTGCAAACAAGGTGCAAACAGGACACTCATTCAGCTTAATTGTTTTCCTGCCTAAGCGAATCTCGTCTCCGCTGTGGGGAGCGTTTCGCTCTACAGAACACGGCTTTAATTTGAAACCATCGATTGTTTATGACTTTGGCCGATTTTTTTTCATTTCATTTGTGGAGTTCAGTTTTCAGATTTTGCCGCAACAAGGGAAAAAGCAATCGAGGGGGAGAATTTCGTTGAACTGTTTTTTTTAAGGGTGTTAATGAAAACTGTTCGTGAGGGAAGTCATTTGAAGCCAAAATGAATGAAAGCACAAAGCACAGAATGGACCAGCTTTTTCTGTCGCTCAAAGACAGAGAGCGATGGTTGGTTGGAATCGAGTCCGCGGCCTATCTCGCGGTGATATTGACCGCACTTCTGGGAAATATTGTGTTAACCTTAGCCATCTACAAAACAGGGACACTCCGAAATAGTCAAAATTACTTTTTGGTGTCGCTTGCCGCTACAGATATCCTTAATGCTGTTTCATGTATGCCATTAACTCTTGCGGCCCTGATTACAGGGAAATGGCCATTTGAAGACTTTGTCTGCCAACTACAGGGATCTTTTTGGACGATTTGTACTGGAGTATCACTGTTGACATTGGGTTTGGTTGCTTTCAATCGTTATGTTAAAATCGTCCGCTCTGCAAGTCTTTACCAAAAAATTTTCACTCGACGAAATGTTTGGATTTCCATTGCTATCTCTTGGATCAGCTCTGTGTTCTTGTCGTCTTCCGTATTTCTTGTTGATAAAACAGCATTTTCTTTCCACCCTGGAAAGAGTTTGTGTTTCTTTAAACATCTCAATGTCACAAACCGGTTAGGCATTTATATCACCATTCTCTATGTCATTTTAACCTCCGTTGCATTTTCAATGATCTTTTTTTGTTACTTCAAAGTGCTTCGAAAAATCCGCGCACATTATGCCCAAGTTAGAAACTCTTCTCTTCAAAACAGAGAATGTGCAGCTTTTGCGGAGGAAATTAGAATTACCACCATGCTTTTTGTCACTCTTTTAGCAATATGTATCAGTTGGAGTCCTTCTGTAATTATTGATTTCTATGAACTGTTTGGTAATGGCCAGTTCATGTTTAAACGACAACTTTATTTGCTAAACGTTTTTACTTTTCAAAGTAGTAGCGCTGTGAATCCTTTCATATACAGACTGATGAATAGGGAGTTCAGAGAAGGATACAGGCGTGTTCTTTACTGCAGAGACGTATAGTAAGTTAGCGTTCCTCAAGCTGTTTCAGTTTTCCAAGATATTTGTGAGCAATATGCTGCCATCTTGACCGAGCAAGTTAGTTCAATAAAGGATTCATTAGAAGGCTAAAAAATTATAAATTGAAGCGGTGAATTTTTTATTGTCCTACACTAGCGCGTTTCGTGATTCCACTGGCCTGAAAAGAGCGCATATTTTTCTTGTAACCGAAAAAAAAAGATAAATCCAAGGAGTTGAGTATCGTGTAAAGTGGTGCATATAATTTTTTTCCGAGCATGAGCAAATGGGGACGTCACGTGAGCCCGTGCGGGCAGAAGGGCCAATCATGGCCGCTTAAATAGCCAATCAGAACACAGGATTTACTTAATCTGGCGTGCCAGCGTGTGGAGCCAGCTATTACCATAAGAGCATCTTCCAAAAGGGTCATTCATGATTTATTCAAGCTATGGAGAATTTCTAAATAAAGTTGTTGATGCAGCTGTAGGGGATCGCTGATTTTAAGTAAATATCCATTATATTTTTAAGTTTGCTTTAAACCAGCTTTAGCAGCTGTTACACTAGACTTCTATTCCTTTTTCTTTATCCTGTAACAAATCTTTGCCTAGTACAGTAAGCGAGTGAGGAAAATTCTGATCCATAGTGATAGCCGCCATTTTGAAATATCACGATCGAAGAGAGCCTGTCTTCCTCAAATCAACCTCCTTTACACTCTGTTTTACTATGCTTTTTTAGTGTCGCTTCTGCAGATCCACGTCGCGAAAAAGGGGTTAGGAGGGGTTGGGACGTAACATATGTTACTAGTCTCGAGCCCAGACCTTCCACGGCTAAGCGGTTGTAAGTTCAGTTACAGTATAACGGTAGCTAGGATCGTGGCACGAGATTGATACGTTACTAAGAGGGAAGGGAAATTGATTACGACTTTGACGGTTGACCAAAGACTCCACAGCGGCGTTGATTATCAAAATCAGATTGTAACAATATCATATTCATTTCTGTATTCAAAAGCATTACTGGTGACTAATCTGAATCGGAAAAACAAGTAACAGGTTTCGTTACACTTTAATTGTGCATTGTGGAAAATTGATTTACATATTCCGGAGGCTTAGGTTAATTTTTTAACTTCGACAACTATTTAGCAGTCCTTTCTTTTTATAATCCTAACATGGGTTTAACTTAAGCTGTTCACAAATAATCGATTTGTTAAGAATTTTAGCAGGTAAGGAACTGATCTTCACAAATTATCTGCAGTTAAAGAAATCGCTGAAAAAGAAATCTGGAAAAATTCAGGGGATAAGTTGCTAAAGAAACTGTGGTGCTGCGTCGGTGGAAGAGTATGACAGGTATAATTTAGTGTTATCAAATGAGTTGAAAACATAAATTGGCCACCGTAAATAGTTTTAAGTCTGACGTTTCGAGTGTTAGAGCTTCGTCAGAGCTATTGAAGGGCTAACGCTCAGAAACGTCAGCCTGTAAACTCTTTACGGTGGCCAATTTACGTTTTCAACTCAGTTAATAACACTAAATTACCTAGGAAAAATTCAGGCCTCGGTGAAATGACCCGTGAAAATGAACCCTTGACCCGTGGAAATGAGCAGCAAAATGTGCCCTTACCTGTCAGGTGAAAGTTTGGGACTAGTACCAACTGAGCTACCAAGCCACTCTCGTAGTTCCGCGAAAAGGATTCTGTTATAGGTAGCATACAAGCAGCTAAAGGAAGGAGAAAACACGAAAAATCCAGCGGAGAAATGGAATTCTACGTTTATTGTGAGAACGCTCTGGTTCATGTTCTGTCAAAATTATCAATTAAAGCTGCAAATAAGGTATTATGGTAATGTTATTATTACGCTGGACGTTCACATTCTAATTATCCACCGCAATTAACGCGCAATTCATATCAATACATCACTTCACTGAATTATTTCTGCTTAATACGATTGCAATATATATTTTTTAAGTTAAGTTAAGAATGATCTTTTTTTTCCTTTTTTTTTTTATGTTATTGTTGCCATTGACCAAATTCAAGACTTATGAAAACCATGCAACGTAGAGATCTACTCAATATTTTCGAGGCACGACTCCAGATGACCGCTTGAACCAAACTTTACAGATTATACATCTCCAGACAATTTTCGTTTCCAACCGACTGATTTATACAAAAACAAATTAAACAAAAAACTTCCGGGCACATTGCCTGAACAGAAGCATGTCAATAATCGGCAAAATTAATATTCTGACAATATATCAAGAGCAGGTGATAAAGACCTTATTGAAAATCGTCTCGATCCATTATCTAACTTGCACTGTCGTATTAAAAGGTTTAGGTTTAAGTAAACAATTGGCAAGCGAAACACACATCGATATCTAGGCTTTTCCAGTGAAATCCTTTTTTTCTTCTCTCCTCTCTTTGCTCGACCCACCGACTCATTTTGACGAGAGGGACTGAAGCAGTGAAAAGTGAAACAAATTCATAAGATGGCCTAGAGATGTTGGGGCGATACTGAAGTCATACAAGGCTAACTTTCTTTACAACACAATATTCTCATGTAGGCCCCACGAAAATCCCTATTCATAAAACCATAAATAAAAGGATTGATAGCACTGCTAGATGTATAAGTGAATATATTGAACAAATACAGCTGTCTTGGAAGGGTGTAGTATCCTGCAATGGCCTCGTAGAAGTCGATAATAAAAGAAGGGACCCAACAGATGAAAAACGTTAATACAGTCACAAATAACATAGCTGTTATTTTCACTTCCTCAGCGAAGGCCGCAGAGTTCTCATTGCGAATCCCAGAGCTTGCAACTTGAGCGTAATGTGCGCGGATTTTGCGAAATACTTTGTAGTAGCTAAAGAAGATTGAAGAAAATATTAAACAAACTATTGACGAGTAACTGACCAGACCATACCAAGAAGCTCCATCTACTGGACTTAGCTGCAACCAACATAAGCACTTTCCAGGGTGAAAATGGAACATAGTTTTGTAGAATAAAAATGGAAAAAGTGTTAAAAACGCAGTTGTCGACCATGACATGGTGATGGATATCAAGATATTTCGTCTGGTGAATATTTTCTGGTAAAGCTGAACAGACCTGACTATCTTCACATAACGGTTAAATGAAATTAGTGCCATTGTAAGCAATGAGACAGTGGCGCAAATTGAAGTCAGACTTCCTTGCAGCTGGCAAATAAAGTTTCCAAAAGGCCATGTTCCTTTGATGAGAACGGTAAGCGTGTAGGGCATAATAGCAGTAGCATTAAAGACATCTGTAGCCGCCAGCGACAACAAGTAGTAATTTTGTGGAGATCGTATTCTACTTGATTTGAAGACTGCCAGCGTCAACATGACATTTCCCAAAAAGGCAGCCAATATTACTACAAGCCACGCCAATGACTCTATTCCAAGCAACCAACGCTCTCTCGTTTTGAGTACTAAAGCAAGTGTTGTCATTCGTTCGTTTGTTTCATTCATAGCGCTTGGCTTTGTCCGCCTCGCTTCTTTTAAGCTCTCCTAGATCCTTCTTTTTTGTTCTGCTGCCGAACGACAGGTATAATAGTGGAAGAAATTGTCGTCTATAAATAAATTAATATTGTTTAAGCCTCTTATTTTCTACTAATAGCACCAGGATGCTTAAGATAAAACCGATTGGACAGATAAGATTTGCAGTGCTAAATATTTTGCTGGGTCAAAATAACCTAACTGGGAGCTCTTAATTCGCTCTATTTTTAATTTGCGGAAAATTTTATCTTATGGAATATTTGTTTTACCCAGATCTGTGTAAACTCTCGAGATATTTGCGTCAGAGAAGAGAAAAAGGTATTTCAGTCTTGAAACTTCAATTTATAATATTAATTAAGGGGAGACGGTCATTTTCAACGCTGGGATTAAAAATTAATTATCAAATGATATTTATTCCTTAGTAAATATATGATCAAAGCAATAGAAGCACAAAATGAAGATAGAAGGCTCAGTTGTCGTTAGAAAGGCTCTTGGTGGTGTGTTTAGTCGAGATGGTATCATATTTCATTTTCGCCGTTCTGCTTGAACAGGAAGTTTTGAAGGATAAAATGAAAAAGCAGTGAAAACTAATTTGGCCAGACACCTGCAGACATCAAAATTTGCTGAACAATACAGCTGGTCATGCATATTAAGGCTGCGAATTTACATAATGTCAGAGGTCCATTACGGCTTCTAGCTCTTGTCGAATACTCGGTGACAATAAGAGGTGAGACAGTAAGTTTACGTTGAGAAAAGTTTCTGCCTTAGCGTCATTCCGATCTATCCTTTATTTAAAGCATACATATGAAACCATAATGAATTCAATTCTTTGGGTCATGATTAATAAAGTTTTCTGTACATATTTTGACCGTCTTTATTTGACTCCATTAATGATCATAAATATTTATAGCCTCACTTCGTTACCAAAGTTTCAGTTGCGGATCAAAAGGGAGGGTTCGGTCGCTTCAAGTCGTTTTGCGTGACCAGAAATCGTTTCCCAAACCCCTCAGTTACACAGTAGTTCGAAATGTAAAGTCACGAATCGTCATTTTTCCCTTTCGGTTGATGCTATTAATATTTTTTGTAAATATTTTAACAGCTCTACAAACAAGACTGGAGAAGAAAGAAAAAAATATTTTGACTCTTTTGGTTATTTTTTAATATCGTTATCCTCCCTTTATATTAGGTGCCGGCATACAATATTCTAAAAATTCCTGAGTCTCCAGTGTTTCGTCTCATCTTGTAGTTCCTTCTTTCCAGTCGGTTTTCATAGATTCAACAAGTGAAACCACTATATGAACACTACACCACATTTCTATTTGTTAGTTACAATACCGCTGAGTAGTATGAAAGGAAAGAACCTCGAGTGTGGAGCAAGTTAGCGCTCGACTGAGCAGTTATATAAGTAAATACCACTGTGATACTTTGCGATATTTCCTGTATTCCGACGAGAAATGGAGCAAGGGCAGAGTGAAGAATCGCTAATAGAATCCGGCGAGAGATCGGATGTCGGGCGACGGAGGAATACGCCAGCCGGTGAGTTGGAGGCTATTGCTGTTGTCAAATGACACTTTTGCAACGCAGACAATATTCGAGTTTACATATATTTTAGTGCAGAGGAAGTAGTTCCAAGATTCTTCACCTAAAATTCTATTGCTCCGTTTAGCTATCGAAATATTTCCAAATTAATCTACGCAAAGTTATCCCATTTTGTTACAGCTTTCTTTTTTAAACGTCCTATCCGCAGGAAGGCAAGCTACCGCGAAGTGTAGTAAAATTTCGCCCCTACATCTTGTTTGTATCAGTCATTTGTTTTCCGCTTGGGTAAGTGAACAGCTTCACGTCAATTTATCTTAGTTCTTCGCTAATTACACTCAGTTTCCCTGCGGTTTGATCGCTGAATCATTCCTGATTCCTCCTTTTTATATTTCCAGGTATATATCGCTCTATAGTGTAAGTTAGTTTTCATATTCATAACTGGAGAAAAGCAAGTATGTGAAGTTAATTAAAGGAAAGCAATTATATTGAAAATAGCCATATCGTCAGATCTGACGCTTATTTTTGACATTTACGCCACCAGGGTGCATGGTATTGTCATATAAAGATATAAATTTCGTTATCTGTCTCCTACTTCTGGAACGTGTCAACAAACTTGTTAGCAACTTATGTACTAGTTATGAGAAAGCAGATGGGCTTTTATTTTAAGAAAAATTCTCCAACTCTACTTGACGTGCTATAATTGTTTAATCATGTTAATCACTTGCATAAAATTTGTTTTTTGCAGGGAGATCGCATGTGGCATTTTGCTATTGGACTGTATCTAGTTGAACTCACTCCAGGATCATTGCGCTTAACAGCAATCTATCAACTGATCAGTACCTTGTCAATTATCATATTTGGACCTTTAGTTGGAGATTGGGTGGATGGAACTCCTCGACTGAAGGGTATGTTAAGTTTGAATGCAGCAATATGATACTGGCTTAAGTTACCAATCCTTCAGCAAGCAACCTGAGCTAATAGACAGACAGATCATTTGGCAGGTTGGTTGGTCATCAGTTCCTCAGTTAGTCATTCTTTCACAAGGTTTGTCAGTCAGTCAGTCACTGAGTCTGTCAATTAATCAGTTAGTCAGTCACTGAGTCAGTCATTACATCACAGTCAGTCAGTCAGTCAGACATTTAATCACCCAATCAGTCAGCTAGTCAATCAATGATTCAGTCCGTCAATCAGTCAGTGAGTCAGTCACTGAGTCAGACATTTCTTCTTAGAGCCAGTCAGTTAATCAGTCTGTCAATCCATCAATCAGTCAGTGAGTTTCACCATGAGTTTGGTGGTCAAGCTTTCATGAAGGCAATCCAGCGGTCAGTCAGTGTGCCTGTCTGCCAGCCAGTCAGTTTGTCAGTTAGTGAGTGAAGAATACAGTTGATAACTGAGCAGATCAGTCTCTTAGTGAATTGAATAACTTGCTGGTCAGTAAACCTTTAAAAATGGAAAAACAGGAACAAAAGACTAAAATATAGTTTTACTGAAGAGTATAAATTACATAAGAAAAAAAATATCCACCTAATAACTGCTCATCAAAACATAGCTTATTAAAATATTTTGAGCGTTACATTCACTTTTTGTTTCAGTGGCACAAATTTCATTGATAATTCAAAATGTTGCGGTGATAATCTGTGGAGTTTTGCTGTTGATTATGTTAAAATTAGAGGAGCACATCCAACATCCATACACCATGTTGCTGGAAGCCAACATTATCATCATTGGCTCTGTAGCTGACTTGTCTAGTGTTGGCACAAAAATTGCTGTAGAGAAGGACTGGGTGGTAGTGATTGCTGGCTCAGATAAATCACTACTGGCAAGTAAGTATGCTGGAAGTGGACAATTAAATATTTGAATTTCCATGATTGTATTTCAGCTGAAAAAGGCATATTTGTCAATTTTTTTTCTCAAAGAGATCTGGGATTGAGCCCCAAGGGGTTGCTGTATTGTGTTCTATGGCAAGATTCTTTGCACTCACAGTACCTCTTTCCACCCTTACAGTATAATAAATGGGTTCCAGCAAACTGACCAGAAATCCTAACAAAATTCTATGGGATAGCTTGTGATGGACTTGCATTACATGCAGATGGAGCAGTCTAAGTCACTACATGCCACAAAAACTGAAGATAAGCACCAGTAGCTTGAGCCACTTCACCTCTTCACTCCTTCTGTTCCTTTACTTGTTTATTCCCCCATTCCATAATGGAGTGGCCCATCCCTATATGCATTGACAGAGACATCTGCAGTTTGGTTTGGGACCTTGTCTCTGTGTTTTGACAAAACCAGTGATTGTGGCTTGGTAAACCTTGATTCACCCAGAAAAAAAAATGAGAAAAAAATTCTTTGAATGTCATTTCATGACAAACATCACTGAAAAAAATTCTAGCAATATATCACACATAGAACTATGTGCAAAATTAATGACAGTCTTTGGTTTTGTTCTCTTTTTATTTTCGTATTCCAAAGCATATAGACTGGCTGATCTAACTACGGTTTAACATATTTTTTTTAGGTACAAATGCATTGATGAGAAGAATTGATCTTTGTTGCAAGATCCTTGCTCCGATCGTAGTTGGTCAGGTGATGACTTACATCTCTAAAATGGCAGGTGTGTTGTTTTTAGCGGGTTGGAATGTTGTATCGGTTTTTGGAGAGTACTATCTTCTCTGGACAGTTTTCAAAGCCGTGGCTGCCCTGTCTCACAAGGTCATAGACACAACAAGACACAACTCTAACACTGAAGACAACTCTTCCGTGGATATGTCTGCTGATGAACCTCACGGATCTAATGAGCGCTTGGAAAGGATGGAAAACGAAGACCAAGAAAGGGGCCAGAATGGCGCTGAGGTTTTGGTCCCAGCTGTTACTGTCAGACCCGTTCAAAGACAACCCAAGCCAAGTGTCTATGCACGATTTAAGAAAAGGATCCTGACCTTTGAAATAGGATGGCACATTTATTTTAGACAGAGTGTAGCCCGACCTGGGCTTGCCCTGGCTTCGTTGTATTTCACTGTGATTTCGTTTGGCGCCATAACAACTGGTTACGCTTACACGCAGTGTTTGTCTGAGTCAGTTCTGAGTCTGATACGAGGCATTGGTTCGTTGTTTGGTGTCTTTGCTACATTTGTTTTTCCCCGATTGAGAAATGCTGTTGGTGTTGTTCGCTGCGGGCTTTTCTCCATGTCTCTTCAGTTTTCTTGCCTTCTTTTGTGTGTCGCTGCTGTCTTTGCTCCTGGTTCGCCATTTTTCTTGTTACCGAGAAATTCAGGGCAACCTGTGCTGCCCCAGTGTAAGGCACCTCAGCAGACAACTCCCACACCAACTCTCTCTCCCAGTTGCATAGATGAAGGGCCCAGGAATTCCTCTATAAACGTTCATCCTTCAAATTTGCAGTTTATGAGAAGAGCTGTAAACTATAGTAATAATGCAGTAACGACGGCAAGAATGTCCTTACCAAGTGTCA